CTCTTTCAGGTACCGCAGTGCCTCCTTCAGGTCTCCAGTCTGAGCCGTCACGCTGCCAAGCTCATGCAAAGTCGCTGCATTTCCTGGTTGAAAAAATCTTTTCTCCATGCGTCGCCACTCAAAGCAAAACAGCAACAAAAGCGATGTCCACCAGTTCCCAGGCGAAAGGAGCACGAAGGGTGTGGCTAAGGGCCACTTCTGAAAGAGCACGACATCAATTATTCTCCCACCAGGCCAAGCTCTAATGAAAGCGAACCTTTGCTGTATTTGCAACGACTGTTTCAGGTGCTCCAATGCTTCTGTCAGGTGGCCTTGATGTTGTTTTACCCGAGCTAGATCCAATAGAATGGCGGCCCGTTTCATGCTGTCGCCTGGCTGCTCTGCTGTCACCTCATGCAGCCGGTGCTCGAGCCGTTGTAGTTCCACCAAGCCGGCTCCACCGGGCATCGACTCCGGGAGGTCCAAGTCGTCTGGTCCGCCTCCGGTGTCCTCAGTGATGCTCCCTGCGAAACGCGGTGGCTGAGAGGTTCGAGTTCTCATCCGAGTTTGATCCGTCATGGAAGAAGCGGATTCTGTTTCCGAAGGAGGATCCATGGGTGGGTGCAGCACAATGGACGATGTATGTAGACCTGAGAGGTGCCGCCAACGATGCGAAAACAATGAATGGATGTTCAGTGGAAGAAAAGGAACCAGCAAACAGAGTTCTTCTATAAATGCCGGCCCAGCCACTCGAGACAAGTCTCGTTGGCAAGATCGGTTGCAGCAGCTCCTCTATTTGCCTGGAGGCGTGGATGAATTGACAAGCAGCTTCCACATGGAGGCTTCTGGTGTTTGTGATGGCTTCGCGCTCTGCCCTCACCACGATGTCGGCCAAGATCTGAGAAACATCTCCATTCACAACTTCAGCGCCCTGAGTGACTTTGTCTCGAGTGACTTCCAGGAGTCCCAGAACACCTTTAGCTTTGTCTCGGACCCAAGTGCTCAAGTCCCACAGTTCCATGGCATCCTCTTGGTCTTCTTCCTCTAGTTCTTCAGGAAGTCCATTCAGCACTTCTCGAACTCCCTGGCCGATCTCGACAAACGCCGTCTGGATCCTTTGATATCTTTCCAGCAGTAGCTTGTCGCAAGTTTGCTTGAGTGACCTGGCAAAGCGGGCGCGGCAAACCGTGGTTTGGTTGTTATCTGGATTGCAGCACAAATACAAAAATGATCTTGTCATCTGACACAAGCTCAGATATTGCTCTGAACTGCTTGCAGTCCCAACAAAAAGAGAACCTCACAGCAACCCCCAACCTCCTGGCCAAAAAGCGCATGTTTGAAGTGGAGAACATCGATTCGGCACCGAATGGAACAGAATGGACACCACCCCTAAAAGCAACTTAACATGACCTCGCGACAAACAATCCGATAGTGAAACTGCGGAGCTTCGTCTGCTGGTTTGGAAGAACCACCCAAGTGCCTGCAAACCCTGCGGAGCTGACCCAGCTGCTCAAGGGGCAGCCTGTCAACCATGTGGGAAGGCCACAGCACTTCAATTGGAGGATCAGCAAAGGAACCAGCCATGGCGCTGGACGAAGATTGAAATTGTATATATAATGTAAATTGATGTACAATTACCTGGAGACACAATTTGACAACTGACCTGAGCTTGTTTGTTGTGATATCTTTAGGAGCGTGTTATGCTGAAGTCCACTTAAGTGTGCAAGTATTGGACAAATACCTCACGTGTGGTCACGGCCACGGTAAGTGTTGTAAGGCAAGAGCAAGCGCCCGTTCACGAATCTGCAATGTACAGTCAAGGAAGGTCTCGCTTGTATCAATCGTGACGAGTAACTTTGAGCACTAAATGGCTCAGAAACGATGGACACCTGTTCCTTCGCGATGAGCCCAAGCAAAGGACACAGCATCAAGACGTAGCCAATTTGGCATGCTGGTGCCCGTCTCTTGAGATGCAACTCGGGCACTTCGGGCTGGTTCTGAAAGTCTTCGGGTTCATAGTAATCGGTATGAGCCGCAAAGTGCTGCCCTGGGAGGTACCTCAAGGTGGCTGCCAACTGATTGGACCCCCATTAATGGCATCGTCCCAACTGATGGGATCAATCTTCAATAGCTCGCTACCAACATTTGTTGGACCACACCCAAGGTACCAGGCGGAATCCAGTGAAATAGTTCTGCGTCTAGTTATTGTCAAGCGCTTGACAAATCAAAGCTGGACACTATACTATAATATGAACAGTCAGAAACCAAGCGGCCGCAGGACGCGGAAGGGCTCCTGCAACTCCCTTGGGACGCGGACCAACGCAGCGGTGCGCACGGCCACATCGCCCAAATCCGGACCATCCGAGGGCGACAACCTGACAAAGCGACGTGGCGACGCGACGAAACCGATCGACCTGCGGCCTTTTCGGAGAGGGAGAGAGCAAGTATAGTTACTTTACGTCATGCTTCTCAGGTTCCCAAAGTTACGAAGGGTCTCCCAGAAATCAAAGGCAGAAGGAATAAACATAATCACTCTCAAGAGGCAAACTGAGTGAGCAAACCATAATTAAACGGAGTGGCATATGGTGTCATAGCAATCATATATGGTCCCTTGTGACGGTGCCTGTTTTGCAAGCATGACTCCTTGATAGTTGTCCCGTGGAAGACTTCATGCTGCTTTCCTCTGCATGATTCGTGCCATCCAAGACACCAAGCTTCCCAGCAGGTGCGAACATCCACCAATTCTTCCTTCCTCTCCTGGTAAAGAATCTCGCAATCGAAACACTGTGGAAACACCAGGCATTGTGCATTCAGGTCCATGAATCGTGGAGCGCTTTCTACTTCAACATATCAGGATTTGTTTGGCCGCGTTGCATCAAACCTGTAATTATTGCGTGCTGTCTCCTGAGAACCAACATCTGTTCTTTTCTTCCTTTCGACCCCATTTGGGAAATCCAATTCGTCTGAGACTCAGAAACTACGAGGACTGCAAACCTGAATGCTCCACCTCGAAAAAATCCTTTGAAGATCAACTCCGCTCACTACAGTACTTCTTCAGCCCCAGTTCCAGTATACCCACCCACCCGTGTATTCTATCCACATGTGTCCACCTGCGGGGCGTCTTCGGTCAAGATCTCCGCCGGCTTCAGCTTGGGCTCCGCCAAGTCGATCATCCGCTGTGCCGACGGCCTGGGAGCTCCGATCGCGGGCCCGAGCGCCAGAGGAGCGCGGTCGGTGGAAAAGTCCGTGTTTTGGACTCCGAAAGGCTCCAAAGAAAAAGGGCATTTGAAGGTAGCAACAAATGCAACCAATCCAAGAAACAACCTCACGAAGTGTCGTCTCGCGTTTTCCGGTTTGGTGCGGTCTTTTCACACCAACGTAGGCATGGCTCAAGCGTCGTGACGTCGTTGCCCTCCCATCTTAGGAGGTCGGGGGTGGAAACAAGGGAGCCACGTGCCAGCGGTCGTCATGAGCTTTCCTCAGTCCAGCAACCTTGGTTTCAGCATGTCATGGAGTGACATTCACACTGGTGGAAGAGGAAGCTGGTTGAAAGCTCTCGTCCATGTCGGGCAACAAATCCTCTCCAAGCTTGCTTCCACAAATCTTGCAAGGTCGAAGAGTGTAGGTGATGTTCGCCGTTCGACCACGGGCACATTGAAAGGATGCGTGCCAGCATTCACCTGCTTCTGTGCGGTAGATGTCTCTGCCGACAGCATTCCGAGCGCGGTTGCGAGTGCGCTCTTTAAGCTCCTTCTCGTAGCGAAGCCGCATTTGCTCAAATTGGAGGTTGTGGACTTCGACCATACCTTCCAGCTTTCTGGTCATCTTGTTGTACATATCCTTGTGCTTGGTGTTCACCCACAAAAGCTGCTTCTTCAGGTCGGAAATCTCATTCTCCAATTCGCGCTCTCGGCGCCTCAACTGTACCAAGGTGAGCAGGGGGCGGTCTTCGTCGGTCTGGGCATAGTTTTCCTCGAGCTGAACCAAAGGAGGCGGTTCAGTCTCTTCTAGCTGACCTTCGTCGGTCAGCTCCAGCACTGGGGGTGTGGACCTCAAGGTCGTCCAACGGGTGGTGATGCAGTGCCATAACAAATGCCCAACCATTGCCACAAACAATGTAAACATTGTAAGGAACATGAAGTTGTTAATGTCAAAGTTGTCATTGCCGTTGGGTGGAGGTTCAGTGGAGTGCGCAGTGGAGGTGGTAGCTAGAGTGACAAACATGGCTGCGTTCAGCAGCTCTTTGGACTTTGGGACTGCGTAGCGCATCTGGTTTAAGCGCCGCTGGTCCAAGCTCTTCTTCTTCGAAGCCGTGAAGCTTGCGTCCGGTCGCAAACACGTGGTGTGGCTTCTGAGTCGTTGAGCTAGGAGGCCGGCTGCGGCTTGCTTTGTCACGCCGTCAGCGTACTGCAGTTCGCTCGACACCCAAGCTGTTGTAGCACCTGTGCAGGAAAGCTTGTCTCTGGTGACCAGGACCTCGATGCTGGTCTGTTTGTCGGCTTGGGAGGCTGTTTGCAAATCCTGCTTGACCAATAGGTCATACAGTGCTTTGGCATCAACCACCAACCGTGGTGGATGCTTCAACTTTGGGGTCTTGCTGTCCTCGAGCGCCAGGAAAGGTGACCAAATCAACTTCCAGAATACAGAGGTGTACAGCAATGCGTCCGAGGCTTCGGATGCCGCCTGACTTTCAGCTGCCAAGCTCGACCTCGCCACGCGGGGTAGCTTCCAGGAGCGCCAATCGATCAAATGGTATTGACCTTCTTGGCCTTGGGTGACTCCATGGTTGGTCATCATGATGAGATGACCCCCTTGCGATGTGAGATCAGCTCTCGACGCAAAGGCTGCGTCGCTGTAAGCAACAAACGTCAAATCCGTGCAGCTGCCGAGCCCTTCAAACTTCAAACCAACATCACTGTACTGCTTTGCAAATCTCAAACACTTGTTTGCTTCTTGCAACGTACCAACTGTTGCTTTGCTCACCATACCTGCTAGCTGACTTGTCATTGCTTGCAGGTGCGGGCTGCTTTGTGTAGATGGCCATTGCAATGCTCCAACCATTCCACGAAGCATAGTGCGCTGCTTCTCAGAAACTGCTTGTTCTGTTGGAGCCTTCTCAAACGAAATGGGCTTTTGCTTCTCCAGGTAGGTGGTGTGTTTCACCTCGTAGTGGTGCTCATTGATCCGGTGGATCTTGGCTCCACAGTAGTCCATATCACAGTTCTCCTCCCATGTCCTGAAGTTGAAAGTCTTCTTCAGGCATTGACTAAACTTTCGGAAGGAGGGGCATTCCATGTTGCCGGTGCCGAGGATGTCGTCCACGTGAAGGCCGAATAGGCCGGAGAGTGGAGCATGCCGAACTGTGTTGCCATTGTCGTCTGTCTGGCTGGTCCATTGGTGTTCTGGTGCTTCATGGTCGTGGACCAGGAAAAGACAGGGATCGAGCGGATGAACTACTGCTCCCAACTTGGTGATCCGCTCGCGAGCTTCGGTGTACCAAGCTCTTGGTGCATCACACAAACCGTACATGGGTTTCCGAAGCTGCATCAACGATGCGTTGTCGTGGCGCTTGTCCATACCGAGCATTCGGCGGGCATCAGCTGGAAGCTGGATCCACAGTGTTCTGTGGGTGGGGTGTTCCTTGCCCTGCAAGAAAGCCGTGCTGACGTCTGCACTGAAGGTGGTCCAGCCAGTATTGGCTGCGATGCTCAGGATGAAGTTTCTTCCCATGCGGGAAAGAGTGGGTGAGTCAGTACTCAGGGTTCCTGACAGAGCGTCAGGGTCTCTGAAGCCTTGGGTGATCAGGCGTGCCTTCGCCCTTGGTTCACCATTTGGCCACTTGGACCACTTGAGGATGAAGTGGGCTTTGAGGATGCGATCCGCCGGGATCGTGCCATCGTTTTGCACCATTTCCCAAACATCATTTTGAAAAAAACTTTCCAGCTCCTTTCGCTTGGCTTCCATGAATGCCAGGCGGTCTTCCAGGCTCATGTGTCGTTCACTGAGCTGGTCTTTTCTTGCTTTGGCCTTGGGGCCGGGTGCTTTGGTGTTTGCCTTGTCTGTGGTCTCTAGGACCTGTTCTGGTGCTGTTTGCTCGATGTAGGAGGCGTGTCCTCCGCTGAGGTTGTAGAACATGTCCATCGCCAGTCGGCGGTATGCTGGTAGGATCTTAAAGATCGTCTGGCCTGTCCAGGGGTGTGGTGTTGTTCTGCCCTTTTGTTGTTTCCAGCGGTCATAGGTCTCCTTGTAGCCGGCTGCTCTGGTGACTCGATCTTTGCTCAGGTAGTGCAGCGGTAGCGGACAACCATTGGTGGGATCACTCGGATCAAACATGGTGTCTCGTGGTTCATAATGTTTCCGGATGAGCTTGTCGCTGTGCAAGGTCCATTCATCCCTGGGGTCCTCCAAGGTGAGAAAACCATTCTCCAGGGTCCATCCGGGTGGTAGTGTCAGTTGGTCCGCTTTGGCCAGATCTGTATCGAAGGTGCTCAACGTGAGTGCTTCTTCGGGATCTGGCGCCGTAGGCCTGGTGTATGGGCTGGTTGTTGCCCGGGTGCTGTCAAACACTTCTCTGTTTGGTCCGTATCGGACTCTGCCGGTGGCGGGTTGGTAGAAAGAGAGTGTTTCTTGTCGATCCACTCTGGCTCTTCGCTGTTGGAAGGTCTCTGTCGTTGCCGGAGTGTATAGTTCCTTCTGGTGCGGTGGAACTGTTGGTGTCTCTGGCGTGCTAGGTGGTGGCTCTGGTTCACCAGCACTCTGTGGTGGGACTGTACCTGCTTCGATGGAGGGATCATCACCTGTTCCGGGTGCCATTGGGGCGTCATCGCCTGGTGCCAGGGCTGGTGGTGATGTAGTGGTTCCTGCATCATTGGAGGTAGTTCCTGCTGGATGTGCTGAGGGCATGTCGGTGTCACTGGAGGACTCTGGCACCAACATTGGCTGGGGTGTTGCATCAGTCTGCATGGTTGTTCCAGACTCGATGCGCAGCTTGAAGGTGGTGCTTCCGGTCCAGTGGAAAGGCATTCCACGGTCGGCATTGGCTGCATGCCAATCGTCTCGTAGGACGGTCCTTGGCTGGTTCGGTCGACGGATGGTCGTGAGTCTGGCATCAAGGAATTGGTCCTTGGGTGCATCATTGCCTGGGACAAACAGGCGTTGACGTGGTTCAACATGAATGCGGTGCCAGGTGAGTCCGTCTTCTTCCACATCCCAGTAGTCTGTCGGTGTTGCTGCTGGGTCTGCTATTGCCGGTGTGGTGCTTGTTCCCTCAACTTGGGTGGTGTGCTCTTGTGCTGGTTCAGGATCTTCTTCATCTTCGGTGAGAACTTCAGAGCGTTTGCGCTTGTTGGAGCGCTGGAGATCGAAGTACAGCGTGGTGCTGCGTCCGCGAACTGAGTCAAGGGCGGCCTTGGCTCGTTGGATCGGGTCTGTGGTGTCGGTGTGGTTGAGGTCTGGTCGGAGGTGTTCCCCCGAGACTCTCAGCAAGGTGGTGCCGTGCGTGATCCAGTATGTGTTGGTGCTGGGGCCTGTTCGACCGGGTTCGGTCATGATCACGGTGGCGGGTCCTTCCACCTGATCTTTGGCCCTGCTCCCCCTGGTGCGTCCCTCCAGTAGTATACCCTCTGACCTGCGGTGTAGGTGTACTGGATGGCGTGGTGCTGCCGAAGGAGTGCTCTCCTGAGTCGGGAGTCGTTGTCGGCTTCGATCACTGCTATGGCTGCTTGCTTCTGCAGGTGAAGCTTTTGCTGCATAGCTTCACTGGGTGTGAGCTGTGCTGTGGTGAGGTCGTGGTCCATGAGGACGCCGGGCATGCGGGGTTGAACTCCCATTGCCCATTGGGTAGCACTGTAGCCTTGGACGTTGGGGCTGTTGTTGATCTGCGGGATCACGTAGCAGATTGCTCGGGCCAGCTGTTCAGACACTGGCTTGTCTGGCTGCGGCTCTTGTGCTAGGAAAAGTTCAAGTCCACGTCGTAGGACCTGGTGGCGTCGTTCGATGACGCTGAGGCGGGTGTGTGCCTGCCCTGGGGATATCTCCAACTGGATGCCATGGTCACTGGCCCAAGTCCTCAAGGTTTCTGAGGCCCAGCCGCGGTGGTCGTCGATCTGCAAGATGGCTGGTGGTCCAAAGAAGCGAATCCAACTTCTCTCAAAGGCCGTGACGAGATCATCGGACTGCTCCCTGGGGATGACTCTGGCCGTCATGAACTTTGTGGTGGCATCAACGATGGAGAGGATCGGGACAGGATGTGGCTTCTTGCCGTCCTGCTGGACGCTGGTGGGTGGATGAATCCACACTGTGTCTGCCTGTACTCGTGCGTTGAAGCTGCCGCCAGTGCGCAAGCTGCTCTTTGGCACTTGTGGTGGTGGACGGTGTGCATCACATAGTGTGCATGTGTGTTGCTGTGCTGCCGCGATGATGGATGCACTTGCGTTCCTCTGTTTGAGGATTCGAGCCAACTCCAAGTTGGTGGGGTGGCCCAAGTTGCGATGTAGTCGCTGCACTGTTCGTTGTGCTGCTGCGAAGTGCTGTTCCTGAAGTCGGGTCAGGATGCCTTTGTTGTTCGTGAAGTGCTCATCTGCTTCTGCTGAGGCTTGTGGTTCATCGTATGGCTCATCGTCTGCCGCTTGTGGTTCGTGTGGTGAGTCTGGTGTGTCTTGGTGAAGTGCTGATTCAGGTTCATAGTTGGGCCAGTAGTGTTCCTGGAGGTAGTAGTGGAGAATGTCGGCCCATGCCTGACACATCTGTGGGTGGTAGCTGCCTGCGGCTTTTGCTCGACTGCCGATGTTTGGTGAGCTGCCTTCGATGGGCAAGTGGTAGTGCTCATCTTGGCATGTGCGCTCAAGGAGTTGTGCCAATGTCTCTGAGGTGACTCTCAGGGTGGTTGGCTTGCGGATGTACTGCTCAATGCCATCATGGTCCGGAAGTGTTGCTCCATATTGGCATTGATCGATGTGGGCGTCATGTCCCTCTAGCTGTTGTAGTGTTTCGGTGTACCAGGATTCTGCGTACCTGGGATGCTCGAAGAGTGAAAGTCGTTGTTGTTTGTGTTGTTTGTTGTGTAGGTTCTTGCTGAATCGGAGGTGGGTTCCCTCCTCGTGCTGCTGTTGTGCTTCCAGTCGGTCTTGATCAGCCTGACTGCGAATGTTCAGGCGTTGGATGGGTGACCACTTTGTGCAAGGTGGCGCAAGCCAGATCACGTCCGGCGAGGTGATGTAGTAGAGCTTGATCAGCTCTCGCTGGTGCTTGGGGTTCGTGAAGTCCCAACCGCTGCGGATGTCAAAGGTGCGCACGACATAGCCTTTGGCCTGCATGGCTGAAGCCAAGTTGGCGTCTCCTGCATAGATCTCCCAGAACTGCATGCGATGTTCCGCATGTGCTTGGAGCGCGGCCTCGATGGTGGCCTTGTGCTGTTGTGCTAGGTGTTGTTGGTGCACACGGAAACTCCGGACGAGTTTGTCCGTGAGTGCACGTCGATGTAGGGTGTCATCATCATCTTCGTCCATGTCCTCAGGATCGGAGGTGCTGTTGTCGTCCGTGTTGTTGTCATCTTCTTGTGTGTTCATGGCGTGCTCGTGTGTGAGCTGTGGTGGCTCAAGGCCTGTGAGCTCGAGGTAGTGCCACAGGGTGTATGGTTCTGTAGTGCTTGCACGTGGCTCAAGTGACAACTGCTGGTAGGTCTCCTCCAGCATGTAGTCGAACTGATAGTCCTTGGTGCTTGTCAAAGGTTCAAGCCCATCATCCAGTCGCAACAGGTGTTCGTTGCGAGGGCCCATGATGATGGCCTGCCATGAACCATCTCGTACTTTCATCGTGTCCTCCATGAAGTTGAGCTGGATGCCAATCGCCTTCAAGATCGGGCGACCGATCAGCAGCGGTGTGCTGCCTGGGACGATGAAGGTCTGTGCTCGACCCAGGATGCCATTGACACAAATGGGCAAGTGAACGGTCCACTGGGAATCTAAGGATCGATCACCGCCGAACTGGAGAGTCTTCACTGTCGGGCGGAACTGGAAATCATCTGGTCCAATGTGGTGCTGGCTGAAGTGCTCGATGTACTGCATAAGGTTATCATGGCCTACCACCATACAGCTTGCACCGCCATCAATGGTGCCATGGATGCCGTTTGGCATGCTTGAGGCGTCCTTCATTGCGAAGTTCACCATGAGGGCGTTGTGCTCACCCTTCAACTTCTTCGAAGTGGGTGATGCGCTGTTGCTAGGGGTGGTACGCTTCTGCGGGCACTGAGCTGCGAAATGACCTGGCTGTCCACATCGGAGACAGGTGTTCTTGTTGAACGAACTGGAGGATAGGGCGGCCTTGCCCCTTGATTTGGCGTCACCTTTTTGGGGTGGTGACCTGGAGGTGTGTTTGCCTTTGGAGCCCTTGGATCCTTTCCCCTTTGGAGGATAGGGGCGTTGGGATTGGGCTGAGCTGGATGGACTGGGGTCTGCTAAGGCCACAACTGGATAGTAGCCACGGTTTGTCTTGAGCTCTGCAAACCTCCGGCGGGCATCAAGGTATGATGCATATGCCTCTTCCCACTCGGGATCGTCAACGTCAGGCATATCGTCCTCCTGATGGAGAATTTCTTCCAGCTCGTCATCCTCATAGTTGACCTCTTCAGGATCATCCGGCCAATCACCAAAGTAGGCGTCAGCCTCATCAATTTCATAGAACTCTTCATAGTCCTGAGGGTCGGGATCATCCTCGTTGGCAGCGTATGCCGCTTGGGAGCCCTTCTTCTGCCACTTGTAGGCATTCTTTCCAGCTGAGCGAGGTGCATTGTAGGGCTTGCCACGATGGTCATAGGTGGAGCGGCCACGAAAATCTTGGCCAAACAAAAAGTACATAGCTTCTTCAACTTTTGTTTCCTCCAATGTTGCTCCACACTGCGATTGTACCAATTGCTTCTGCTCCTGAGACAACCCACTCCTCCGAAGGAGGAGCCAACCAGTCACTTCCGCCGGCAGGGAGATGTTATGTTTCTGGACCTCCCGCAGTGCTTCACGATGATCAGCACAATACGACATCAATGTCTGATCCGGCCTTCTTGAGAGGCTATAGAAAAACTTCTCGAAGGCCCTTGGTTGTTCAACACGGTCATCGTATTTGAACGTCCTGTCCAACACTGCAATCAACTTTGAGAAACCTTCCTTGTCCTCACTCAGAGCGTCAGCTTGGGGTTCCAACTGCTTCCATGCGGTGCCGGTCATGGTGGTGAGGATGTTGATGATTCCTTCAACAGGTTTCTTCTGCAGTTGCATCTTCTTGTAGTACAGGTGGATGCGAGCCCTCCATTCTCTGTAGTCCTGAGGCCGATTGCTAAAGGTCGGCACCCATGAATCCTTGGTGGTGTCACCAGCTGTGCTCGAAGTCGAAGCCATCTGCACAACGTGTAGCAATGCTCAATGTACGACGATCAACGATCAAGGTGCAATGTCCAATGCTCAATGTCAACTTGCTCAACGAACAACGGTCAACGACCAGGGCGCAATGTACAATGTACAGCGGTCAGCGGCCAGGGTGCAATGTCCAATGTTCAATGTCGACTTGCTCAATGTACAATGTACAATGTGCAACAAGCAAAGGCCAGTGTGCAACGTACAGGGTGCAAGAGCAATGTACCTCAACCAACTCTCAAATCAACAACCAACTGTCACCTGGCAGCACGGTAGGGAGCCCCTGGTCGGGGCTCCGCTACCAATTTGAAGGTAGCAACAAATGCAACCAATCCAAGAAACAACCTCACGAAGTGTCGTCTCGCGTTTTCCGGTTTGGTGCGGTCTTTTCACACCAACGTAGGCATGGCTCAAGCGTCGTGACGTCGTTGCCCTCCCATCTTAGGAGGTCGGGGGTGGAAACAAGGGAGCCACGTGCCAGCGGTCGTCATGAGCTTTCCTCAGTCCAGCAACCTTGGTTTCAGCATGTCATGGAGTGACATTCACAGGGCACTTTTGCGGTGGAGTTGGCCATTTTTAGCGTTTTTCTCCATGTCAAGTTGAGATTCATCCTGTTAATGCATCATATCAACGGAGACCTTGGAGCTGCAGAGTAGTGGCCCCGAAGGATCCTCTCCACTCGCAGCCGGGCAACTTGTCAAAGAAGTCTTCGATGATAAAGGCCAGCGGGTCCAGGGTCAGAGTCTTCAAGGTCAGGTTGAGCAGCTCCTCTTGAAAAACCATGGATTTTGATATTCCAATCCTTCGTACAAAAACGACACGCAGTGTGCATACTCTAAACTCCTTTTGGCAAAAGCCTCCCCCTCCAATAAATACTTCTCTGGTCTATCTAGATAATATAGCTACTACGACTCCTTGTTCCAAGTTCCTTCACTGACTGGTGTCGCTCCTGCGATGTGTCGGAGCTGGGTACCTGTAGTTGCCGCACGAAGCCTTCGCGGATCCCGGGCCACACCCAGCGGCCGCCCTCGAAGACCAGCAGAAGACCCCGCAGCGCGGACACCGTGGTCACTGGGACGCCCGAGGCATCGGACAGGAGCCTCGTGGTGGAGTGCCGTGTGGGCGTAGGGTTGTGGGGGAGGGATGAGGAAAGACAAAAATAATAGGCAGGTCCTAATTATGGTGAATGTGATATAATGTGATAAACGGAGGTCGATCATAATAATTATGAAGGTCAATGTGAGCTGTGGTGAGGGTATTGATGTCCAAGTTGTGACGGCTTCAAGTATATTGCCAATGTGTTTTGGGTCCATGAAAAAACTACGAACGAAGCATTTCGCACGTCGCTGGTAATAGCTCGGTAAGCGAGCACATTCTCAACATGTGTTTTACGTTCCTTTGCTGCTAAAGGGTATCTGCCTGATATATCCTGATTCATCACACCGGGCTGCCACGGCAAAAACTCCCACATCTCTTGCTGCTCCATCTTGGCACGCTTCTCCAGCTGCTTTCGAAAGCCTGACCTCAGCAAGTGAATTCCTGGGATGCTCATGCAATTCCGAAGAAGAACCACTGGCACACCTGACCTCCGCAGAACTTTGGATGGCCGTCGAAAAAGACGTGAGCGACCACAAAACTGAGACTCCTCAGGCAATATGTGTGTTATAGTCAAGCACTCAGCAAATCCCATGGTCAATCAGTCGCCCTAAACTGACACTCGCAACAAATGTGCCAGGCAACAGGCTCTTGATCTTCGTTTGCCAGGTGCTCTTCTCATCTGGATGCCCTCCACGCCAAAGGTTCACGGTACTTGAGGATGAGGAATCTGGATCCGAGATACAAAGCCTCGGTTCACTTCATCAAACTTGTGTACCTGAAACTTCAGGAACATGGACAATTTCAACCTGCAAAACCCGTCGGGTTTCCAAAGGAAATATATATAAACCTCTCCAAGCGGTTTCTTCCATTGAACCACCCTGTTTTCCACTCTATAGACTTGCAAGGATCACAAAAATGGCATTTCTCTCTCCCCAAGCGGCACGTGGTACCCGGGCGGTGCCCACTCGGCCGACTCGTAGAGCCACAGATCCACCGCGCAGCGCGCCGCGGCGCTCGGCCGGGCGGCGACCGCAGGCAGCAGGGACGCGGCGAGGAAGCGGAGCCAGGGCGCCATCCCGGTGCCACGCGAACCGTGGTGAGAGCAGTGCTTAGGGCCGTCTTGAGGCCGTTTTTTGGGTTGAGAGGAAAGAAAATGGATCGGTGCTGCAATGTGCTAGAGAGATTGTTTGACGAGATACAAGTGAACAGGGGTTTGTGAGCGGTTGAAGAGTGAATGTGGATTGAACAAAGCAATCAAAGAAAAGGCTTGGAGCCCGAAAGAGCCCTGCAAGGCCAAGATGAAGTACATGAACTGTCTAAGCTCTCCTCTTAGAAGACGGGTCAGTTGTGACGATGGGAACTAGGCAGGATCGCCTCGCGGATCGCCTTGCTGAGACTCAGACCTCTGGCAAATACCTCCAGTGCTGATCATGGCAAGCGAATGGCGAGTGGTTGCGTCTTCGACGCGGCTTAAATCTGTTGCAAAAAGACTCAGCAACTGTGAAACATCTAATCAAGGCTAAGGGAACGGGAACACCTCCGAGACTGGCCGAAGACACAGAAAATCAGCGCCTACAACTTTGATATGTCATTCCCTTCGTGAGCCAACTTTCAGCAGGCCCTGGGAACTGACGTTTTCAGCTGTTTCTTCCATCAATGAGCTCCTATGACTTTAAGGTCCTGGCGCATCCTCCAGAGTCTCCAATGTAGCCAGTGCCTTGCAGTGCAGGATTGCCATCATGCTCGTGGCTAAGAATGGTAGTCCTTGAGTTCGAAAGCCATGCAAAATGAGAAAGCATTGTTGTTCTGGGCTGATGAGAGTCAAGACCAAAGAGCTCAAAAGGAAAGATGGGCAAGAATTCCAGGAAACCCACCGGCCAAGAGAAGGATGGATACCAGTACAGTGAATATCGACCACAAGTCCACTGGGTAACCACTTGGAAATGCAATAGACATCGACTCGAGTAGTTGCTGAGGTTGCCAGGCGTTCATCTATCAACAGCGCGGATCCCAGATGGGTACAGTAACTCAACCTCCCTGATAAGTCATAAATCCCACATAATTGGCAGCTCTGGCAGCTATGAAACACCACTGGCCCCGAACCACACAGGATTGCCAGAAGCGATGCGCGAAGCACCGTGTTGCGGCGAAAGCTTCGCCCACCTCCCAGTCCAACGAGCTCATGCTACCTGGGCGACACGATGTGTCACTGAGGCAATGAACCGTAGCTGCTCAGTCGCTCTGTCACCTCGTCCTCATTCTCTTCCAAGTCGAAGGATCGGGAACAAAAGGGTCCCCGTTGAACTCTCCAGTAAAGGTTTTGATGGAGAACATGGTGGATCCCATCCAAATACCAACGCAACGGTTTCAGGGTCGTTGATGCCTTTCTCCATTAACAATCTCGTCAAGCAAAGGACTTTGGTTTCCCAAGAGATATTTCCTTTCAAGACTATAAACTAGAGATTCGAGCGGCGGTTGATTGACGTCGACATGCTCCGACATACCCCTCTCTAGCCATCTTGTCTTTGAGGATGCTGGGTCGTTTTATCTGCCTTTTTTCTGCTATTAGGTTGGAGGCCATCGCTTCTAGGTGGAGGCCATCGCTGGTAGATTGGAGGCCATCGCTGAGGCCAGCAGGCCCTAGTAGGTTGGAGGCCATCACTACAAAGGGAAACTAAGACCAGCCGAATTTGGGGTCTATCCAATCCAAGAGACTCTCGTCGCTAAGATCACTATCGCTCATGGTGGAGGTCTGCAACTGGCAGCGGATCTTGGCGAGGAATGGCTGTCTTTCCAACAGAAAACATCTGCAGTCATGTTTCTTCGTGCACAGGAACAGGGGTGTGGAAGGAAAAAAGCATGCTAGAAGCATGCAGCTGCTAGTCTGTTCCTTGATTTAGCACCAAATGCAATCTAACATCAAGTGCTCTCTGCGGCGATGAAACTGATTTGCTTCTCCGAAAAGAGGTTTCTATGAGATAGATGAAGGTCTCATCTCCGGAAGGCATCAATTAGTATCCAACCTACTAGAGATGGCCTCCAACCTAGTAGAGATGGCCTCCTCCAACCTATTTGCTGGTGCTTTTGTGCTGGTTTTCTTACAACCAGTGCATCCGTGCCAAAAATCGATGAACAACACAAACACAACACTCGAAACAGGGCCACAGGGCTCTTCAGTCCCATACTTCGCGCTAAGGCCTCTGTTTCTCGCTCCATTTGCTCAGCTGCCTGCATCAAGATCTGAGCTAAGAACATCCTGAAAGCATTCTTGTGGCTAGCAAAGCACAGGCCAAGCGGCCAAGACCTAAGGCCTTGGCCTTTTAGTAACATAAGTGTCATAGTGTCGTAGAGAAAATGCTCTTGTTCACAGCCAAGGCTTGCATCAGCTTGCATTGCTCAAGACTTAAGGCCCTACGCTCAGCCATTGTAGCTGTCTTGTGAGTCAACATGAGTCAACCCATGTCAACCCCGTCTCAGCCCACGCATCGTTTTCTCGCATCTTTCTGAACTCCGTCTTTCGCGGTCTTTGTGGCGCTTGAAAGAAGCGACGATCACAGATCCCAACGCTTCCAGATCACCAAGGTGTCAGTATGGTGTTGGATTTGCAAATCCTGTTCCTTTTTCACAACCCATGCGGTTCTTTAACAAGCTTTACAAGCCTTTGGGAAGCATATGGGAATCACCTGCAACAAAACTTGTGGAAAGTCGGGCATATATCTGCATGTCGAAACAGTTTCTGCTCTCATGCTCCTGCAGCAGCAGCACTTTCGAATTCCGCCGTTGAAGCCTCTTCGCCAGAAGCTTTCTCAGGCACTCCTGAAGAGGACCCAAGTACAGGCTGGTGTTCATGTTTGCAGCACAAAAACGCCTGAGCAATCAAAACCGATATCAAGCCTGAAATGTGGACGCCAATATTATTTAGAGTCGGGACAAGAAATACTGCAAACCCTTTGGCTTGCAGAGAGATTCCAAGGCCATTCCGAAACTCCACCTTTTCGATGAAAGCATCCCAACCGAAACCCCACCGATCTCACTCCTTCCAGCTTCTTGCTCTTTCCAAGCGCTTGGCACATCTTTCCGTAGAGGTTCTTCGACTTTTGGTCTTCCTCACACGTGAGTCGGTCTGGGGGAATGTTGATGCCTGCCCAGCAGAAATCGAGTCTCCACTACCCTTTAGCCTCGAACACCTCGGCCGAAGTGATGTCCCTGTTCCCCCGTTCTCCCCGGTCCTCCTTCTGCTGCGCCAGCGCCTGCTTCGTCAAAGCTCGGGCCTCACGGTTCTGCGGCTCAATCTCCAATAGCCTCTTCAGATCCTTGATGCAATCCAAGTAGTTCTTGAGGCCAAAGTCAGCCTCCAACATCAAGCATTTGGATTCCGACTGATTGTCTTGAAGCTAAGACTTAGAGCCGAAAAAGTGATTGAAAACAAACACGAGAAAACATGAGAAAACACTAGACTGGGCAGCACTCTAACCAAGCCTGAGCATGGCGGAAGAGCGCTTTCACGTGATTGGCCGCTTGCTTCAGCACGGTATCGCAGCTCAGCTTGGCCTCGGCGTAGAGCTCCAACTTCAACTCGCACGCCGCCTGGTTCAGAGTGCAGGCCATCTTCATCTCCTCTGCCTAACACGAAAAGCGAGAGAAATGGGGAGAGGAAGCAACGCTTACCCCTAGCACCCAAGTCTGAGTCTGGTTCCTCACCTTTCAGGTGAAACATCAACCAAAGAATGTGCTGAGACAAGCTTTGCCCCTCCTTGGCTTTGTTCTCCTCCTTGTAGTTGTCGATATATCCAAAGAGGTCTGCTACGCGCTTGTAGCACTGCAGGGCCAAGCGATATCGCTTTGATTTGAAGAGCTCGGCACCCACATCCTTCCGAGCAGCGCCATGCTCAAGCTTCTCCTCCTGGGACATCTCCCAGGTCCCCTGCAGCAATGGTAGCACATATGTGAGACTTCTCGCCAAGCCACAAATGAAAGTAAGACTTGAAAAAGACTCACACACAGAGAGAATCCATTGATCCAATCATATCTAATCATATCGAATCAAGCCTTGACAGAAACACCCAGCCTTCAGCTCTTCGAAGTCCATCAACTCCATTGTGAGAATCACCTGAGAGCCACCCGGCGATCAGAAGAGTTGTCTTTCACGACATGATTTTCAGGACACCTGTTGAGGACACCCAACCTCAGTCGTCTTCACCAACCCCCCAAAAAACGCCACCAAACCTCAACCACCGCACTGCCCCGCACTTGACGCTTCCGCCTTCTCAGCCTCCACTTCGGCCAGTCCCAGCTTGGGTTCGCGGCACAGATGTGCTGCTGACGTCACCACGGCACGCTCACCTCACAGCGCAGAATTCTCTGAAGCTGTTGTTCTCAAAGGAAAGACGAGCAAAGTGAAGCTCGTCGGCAAAAAGAGCATACGTCTTCGACCTCTTCTTGAGAGTTCTTCTTGAGAGTTTCTAGCAAGGATATGGAAAGTCGAATGGGAGTCGAAGACCCGCAAGCCAAGACCTCAGGCCTTGGAAATATGTGTTCATTCCACCGGTCTGACGGGTCTTCATGTGGATGCACTGTCAAAACAAAACATCTAGGAACTCACCACCTACCCTCTAATGGGTCTTGGATGGTCCTGGGATATTTGTTTTTTCAGCCCAACCTGCCTTTCTTCATCTGCTGCACCGCGAACTCCAGTGCGTCGCAAACAGCGCCGTTGCCCGCCGTGAAGCTGAGGCTCTCTGCGATGAAGGACGGGATCGGCTGCCCATGCCCGTCCGTCGCCTGCTCCACGCGCAAGGTCACTGGGACAGAGTCCTTGGGCTTCTCGTAACCCGATCCCTCCTGGCAGGGCCAAAGAAAAATGGACACAAGGAAGGTCTAAAATATCTTGTTCTTTTTCGGTCCGAAGGAGGGTAGCTATGCCTATCTCCCTCCCTCTATTTCTCTAGTTTTTGGCATAAATCTTTGTATGGCTTTCCGGTCTGTCTCCTTCACTTGCTTCTTCATGAGCGACTTATCCTTTCCAGGTGACACATCTGTCACTTCGTAAATCTCTTCCAGAGTGAGGTCCAGAACTGCTCCATCAGGGTAAGTGTCTCCATATGCATAGTGCTTGGTGCAAGTCAGAGTGCAGTGCTCACCCCTCTTCATGTTTTGCAAGGCCTTCTCTACCGTAGTTGCTAGAGGCCCCAGCTGATCTGAACCCATGACATACTCAAAGGAGCCCTTGTCATCAATGAGGTCGCCATTCAATTGAGAGGCTTTCAAGGAAATCTTAACTTCACCATCCTGCGGCGATTTCCAACCACTGCCCTCTGTCAGCTGCAGCTTGATGACTCCTCCATCTGAGAACAGATCATCCTTGGATAGCCAATCAATGAGCTCCACTTCAAAGACCAGTGTGGCCTTCTCGGGAATGCTCGGAGGCGACCCAGCATCACCTAGGCTGTGTTTGTCCGAGTTGACATTTGGTCTCTACAAAAAGAAAACCACTGTATAGCTTGGCAATGGTTTGGGTCCTGCTTGTAATTTTTGGGGATGACTTCCTCCTCTTGAGTGCAAACATGTGACCGTAGGCATACTCCGGTGACAAAGTGAATTTGGCCACTTCACCCTTCTTCATCGTGGCCACACCCAAGTCCCAACCTTTGATGACTTCTCCTTGTCCCAAGGTGAACTTGAAGGGTTGCCTCAGAAGAGCAGACATGAGCAGAATGGCAGATTTGCAGCAGTTTTGCCTGCATTTTACACAGCCTTGCAACACATTTTGGCACTTCTCGAAAGAGCTCGCAGTTGTGTCAGCATATTTTGAAGGCAAGTTGCTCTCGCGAGCGAGAAGAGTCGAATTGAGAGCCATCGGACTGCAAGGTGCCGACATAGTGCACCTCTCATGATAACCCGTTTTCTTTGACCAGGGAGAGCGTTCCACCCGAAAAATACGTGAAAATGATCGAACAAAATAACAAACATAGCACGTGTGGCTGAAATCATGGAAAGATATTGGAAGTCAAGTCACAGTTACTTCGTCCCCCGTCTTGGGAAGGTTGTAATTTCCCTCAGGAGCTTCCTGGATGATTTCTTTCTTCACTCCTTCAGGAAGATCTACCTCCTCCTCGCCATCGCTCATTCCTTCCATGTTCTCCATGTCTGCCATCTGCAAGTCACCCATGCCCTCACCAGTCATGGGAAGCTCATCGTCCGACATGTCGGCTGTGCTCTAAAGTTAATCTGTACAAGTCAAAATAGCCTCCAAAGCACACAGCACTCGAGCCCAAAAAGGAATGAAAGCTTTGGATCCGAAACCATCTATGCCTCAAGTGAAACAATTCTATTGCAATACAAACAAAAAGACATATGCCACATTGCCACATGCATGGAATCAATAACGTCTGTCTTTGACTGGGAGTTCGACTCTTTTCTGGAGGCCTCTGCTCTTCGGTTGGGTACCCAGAAGGCCTTTGAGTCGGTTAACATGGCCTTCGCACTCGCTGCCGCTGCAGCTGCAGCTGCATAGACCCGGGCCACAGGCCGACTGCGGCATGGGGGTTGACTGTGGTAGGCCGCAAAAGAATTGGTGATGGCAATGAGTTGCAGGGACTTGAATGATGGTGCCTACCAGATCCGTAAGTTCACAGCAGTAGCCGTAAACTTGAGGGTTCAGCAGAAACAAGGGCCCCGAATAATGAAGACGGTCTGAGATGGGTTAAACTGTAAAGCCCAAAAGAACTGCAAGACCTCCCATGTAATTCTTGGGTCTTGGCCTCACCCCTGACTCAGACTACCACAAGAATGCTCTCTTTGAGGCAGGCCAGGCAGGCCTAATTGACGGTTTGGACTTAGTTGGCAACGTTCTTCCACTGTTTCTTCATGTTTCTTCCAACATCTTCGAACGGTTTCCAATTACTCGTCGCTTATGACCGACACTGGCGGCACCTGTCCACCCGTGGCTCTGACCAAGGCATCCGCGGCAAGTCCGGCTTGGCCTCGGTGGGTGACAAAGCTGGTGGTAATGATCGTAGTAATTAGTAGCTTAATCGAAGAAGAACAACCTTTAACAAATAAAGGTGTAAAAAGATAAATTGCGAAAATAGACCAAACAATAAAGACAATTAAAAACAACCACTAAACATGTTTGTAAGTAGTACAAGCAGTGGGAGCAAAACCCAAGACTTTTATGGCACCCTAGATGCAGTGTGGCAACTGATACAATCCCAAACAAAATTGAAGCAAAAACAGCGACAAACATTGTCTTGGGGAAGGTGTAACGGTGGAATTCTTCTGCCAAGATGGAACTGGTTTTGCCTATAGTTACCTGGGTGTGAAACGAACATCGGACGAATTGAGGAGATAGTTGTGGTTAGTCTCACGATCTTTTCGGGCGATGCGAAGCAAGCTGATCGAGAATCGGAGGCTCTTCGCAACCTGTGTGCCAAGGATCAGAGTGGCGCTCAGGCTTCCGAAGGTGCATCATCTGGCTCACAATGCGGGTCCTTTCGGAAGAGCACAAAGTTGATCAGAAAAACGCAATTTGTGCGACTCCTTCGCATCACGGAGTCCGAATTCAGAGTTGTCCGAGGTATCTGACCATTTACCAGTTGTCACATCTCTTCATTCATGGTCTCCAAGAGATTCAACACGTTCTCTACGAATTCAGGTCGTAGCCATCCCAAAACAAACCAACGAAACGTCTCGCTGAACCCATCGTCCTGGACTTGGAGACTTTCCGCTCCAGGGCCGTGCACGACTGCTCCAGGTGTCGAAAGGAGGCCTGGCCGAGACTCCAAGGGCCAGGCCAAGTCTCATTGAACCATCTGTCCATCATGTGCATGTAATTATACACGATATATTATATATAGTATTATGTATACGCTATAATTATGCAGTCTTGAAAGAAGGCTTGGAACATGCGCACTGGAATGCACTGGATGGTGGCGTTTCACCTGCATGTTCGTGTCTCTTGAGAAATACACTCAGATCGTGCCACCGCCTTGATGGAGAGAATGGTGTCGTTCAGGAGTTGCTGGTCATAGCGAGTCTCGGGCACTGCGCGGGCCTGCACTGGGGCTGGGGACAAGGTTTTAGACAATCAGCTTGACAGCTTAGAGGCCAGAAGAGCGTGCAAGAAAAACTGTCCAACACGTGTAATCTACGAATATCTTCAACAGCAATAGAATCTAACATGGCGTGGTCAACTTTCTTGTGCAATTATTCTGTCCGGCCTTCTCGGTTCGCTGTGCCCATGCCATGGCTTCAGGTGCGAAATGATGAACACTGTACTTTTTTGCTTGGCGTTTGTCGGCCTTCCAAAATTTCATCACTTTGGCGAAGTAAACCATGATCGCTGGAACGTTTATAGGACGTCAGTGCGGCTGAAGATTTCTGGTGTCTATGTGGGGCCAACCCCCCAAATTTGACACTTCATGCAATGCTGGTTTCTTGCATCCCGCTTTCTTTCTGAGGCAGTCAAGCCCGTCTTGGGCTGGAGATGCAGTTGGAAGTCCAGGCAAGTACTTCACTCCGACGCAACAACACGCCTTTGGTTCAGTCTGCCAAAGGCGTGAGTCTGCCGACCGAGCCTATCCAGGCCGTGTTGTGAAGTCAGTGAAATCGTTTACTCTTGTGATTTACAGTAGTGTGATTTACAGATTGCCACCTTACAAACCCCGGCAATGTCATCGACTGTGCACTGTGGGAGCACAAGGCAACTCTTCGATTGAAGTCAGAGCTGTGAAGAATACTTCTGGGTCTCCGTTATTAAACCCACACTGTTCCACCTGGTGTGAAAGGCCCATGTTTCCCGGAGAACTTCATATTTCCGGTCGCCCAATCCTCCGTTTTGAAGCTTGGGCTGTTGGGCATCAAGGGTGGTTGCCACCGTATTGACTCAATGCTCAACTCATTGCGGATGGACGAATTGTATGAATAGACATGCAGCAGCATAGGATAAGCTAGGTCCAAGAAAAACAAGCATGAATGATAAGCATGGAGGTGGAAGGGGTTCGGGCAGATCATAGACTGTACAGGGCCATCTGATGGCTTGCAGCTGGCGCGACAGATGTCGACGCTGTGGAGGTTCATCCGTAGGAAGTGGACGACGAAGTTTGTGGCCTCTTGCTGTCCAAAATATCAAGACAAAAGGCTGTTTAAAGAAGGCGAGCACACGGAGCACAAGTTTTAAAGTTTGCTTAACGTTTGCTGGGCAGCCCACAACGGATTTCGGCTGAACTGGGCCCCTAGCACTCTGACGACCGCTAACATGCTGGCTCTGGGGACCCCACACCACCATGTCCTGAGCCATGCCACCTGTTCAACATCCGACGCACCTGTGTCTCTGGCTCGTCACCTCCCACCTGCTAGCTCGCCAATCTATTAGTTGCATGGCTTTGTGAGAAAGCGGCGTGCTCATGCACTGTCTAAAAATCCAAGATCAATAATTAGTAGTCGTCCGATTGGGTTTGTTGTGCAACTATTTTGATATGAGACAGAAGAATCAATCATGTAGTTCCCCAACACGCAGGTGTTTGATGCGCATCAGGAATGCAAAACAGTATGTAGTGTAGCGTTATATATATATATATGCTCAGTATCATTGGTTCTGACAAGCATTTGCAAGGCCGCCAAGCTTGATTTCGACCTCTTTCGAGGTGCACTCACCCTACCTGCTCAAATCAATGTAACTCATGCCTCCGTTGCAAGCGTCGCTGGGATGAAGGCCTGACACCAAAGATATGAAAGAGCTAGCACCTCACTCCTTTGTGTTTAGAGCAGTACGTGATTCAAACACCAGAAACTTCAGCACTACCCATATAGCCTGACAAAGTGCATGTCGGCCAAGCAACAAGTCCAAGTTGGCCATATTACGTCGGATAACAGAAAACAGAAAACACTCATATTATGATTCATGTGTCTTCCCTTGAAGGGTAGTAGCCTGTGTGCCAAACTCTGGAGGTCTCAGTCAGCCAAATCTAGGTCGTCGGGCAATATCAAAGTTTGGCAAAAGTCGAGGGCGTTCATGAGACAGCGTCTTGATTGGAATGAAACTAAGCAAGAGAGTGGACATCAAGAACATTCAACATCCCTGGCTGGGATCAACCGATGTTTCCTGTCTATGTGCCATTCCATACCAACACGTTCAAATTCCATTCTTTCATGCTGCAGCAGCAACAGCAACAACAACAACAGCACCAATCAAGCTCTCCTCTCATACACGCCTCTGCAGGAAGGGCCGCCATAGGAGCTAAAGACCTGCAAGTCAGTGTGCGATACACATGGTCCTCACCCACTCTGAAGTTCAGAATGTCTCAGAGTGAAGCTAGCCAAGTCAAAGACTTTACGTACACGCATCTACACGCTGAAAGTGACAAAACAATAGTTGCTGAATTCAGCTCGAGAGTCCGCAAGGACCGATCCCAACACCTTTTGTCCATGCACGCAAAATTGCCTGTCATGCACGGGCCAATCCAAAGCTCCACTCACTCCTCGATCATAACAGCCAGGCGGGGGCGCCATTTCTTGTCCCACTCCTTGAGACGTTCGACCAGCTCCATGGAACGATCCTTCTCCCAACTCAGGTCGTTGAGCTTTCTGTTAAAATGCTCCTTCCTGCTACTTCGATCTTCATCCACCGTCTCCAGCTTCTTGGAAATGCGGTCCGACTGCTTTTGCAAATCAGACCAGCGTGTCTTGAGTTGTTCTTGCCTGTTTTTGGAGCGCTTTTCGAACGCATGTGACCTGATCTTCTCATCTTCTACATCTTGCGATGTCCGCTTTTGCCCCTCTTCTCCTTCCCAAGCCCCAGCAAAACCACCAACTACTCCTCCAAGAAGAAGACATCCAGTTTCTCCCAGGGCAGGAATCTGCGACCCTCCCGAAAACCCAAACACCGCTACTTCCGCTCCACGACGGAGCATAACAAGAACCACCCGCCATGTGTGCTGTTAGTCTTCTGCTTCTCCCGCACATGATGGTTGTAATCCTTGCGATTAGCTTCGATTTCCGAATCGATATCTTTCTGATCCTTTTCGACCTCCCTCTGCTTCTCGGAAAGTCTCTTTTGCTCCTGCTTAAGCTCGTCTCTCTCTTGCTTGAGATCTTTCATGGCTTCCTTGTACGCGCCACTTGTTTCTTTCTCATCAATCCCAATCTGTCCGGAGTGTTTCGCGACAAGCCCTGCAGCCCGTGAACAGGACCCAGTCAGCTTGTGCGCAAGCTGACGATTCTTATCTGCCAGTTTCTCTTCAAGGAAGCGCTCTAGTTCTTGGCATCCCGGCTCATCATGCTTGCCACCGGCCTTGATGGCTTTCTCAGCCTTCTTGCCATTGATGCAAAACAGCTTTGTCTCCTTGCCCGGAAATGCCTTCGCAGCAAATGCCTTTGCGTGAGCTTCCACTTCCTTCTGCTCTTCCTCATCCACATGATCCCAATGGGACAACGCAAGGATACCTGGAGTTGAGTAGCTCTGCAAGCGCTGCCGCAATTCTTCTTCGGACTCTGTTCCCGGTGAAGTTGCCTTCATGAGGAAAATCACATAGTCGGCATGCTGGACCTCGTCAAGCACTTGTTCCTTGTGCTTGAGATGTGCAGTCTGCCAGAAAGCAAAGAAAGAGCATGGAAGAGCAATCAAACATCATGTTCTAAGAAGGAACAGTACGGAATGATCAATGAGCTGGATTACCCAAGGAGTGTGGAATAAAGCAAAACAATATTCAAGAGGACGCCGGGTGACTTGATACCTTCCGCTGCATTGATTCCAGGAGTGTCAACCAGCAGGATGCTCTTATGGTCGCCACATGCTACCTCCCGCAAATCCATGGTGGTTGGCCGACATCCAGTCTTGGCAATCACTCTGCCCGCCAGAACATTCAGAAGGGTCGACTTGCCACTGCTGAAATCACCGATCAAGAGGACCCGCAGCTTCTCATCCCATTGCTGTTGCTGTGCCTCAAGCTCTTCAAGCTCATCAAGGGGCAAATGTTGTAGCTTGGCGAAGTCCTGGAAAATGTCCTCAAGCTCAGCCCGTGCAACTTGGATCTGGAGCGGCTGAACAATTGGAAAATCCGACTGCCTTGGGCTTTGATGGCGGGTTATGCGAGAAGCACGGCCTGCGCTGCGACCAAACAACGACGGCCCAGCAGTGCCACGTGCCCTCCACGCAACGAAGGGGCGCCCGGCCATGCCCAAGAGCATGGCCAACAACATGCGAGTCGCCAGCGGTGCACGCACCATCAGAAAGCAAGTGTTAACTTGTGAACTTGTTCTGGAATCTTGAAGCCTTGGATGCCTGCGTCACATATGTAAGGATGTTGAGGGATCAAGTCACGCACGAGTCAACAAAAAGAGAGAATCTAGTCAAAAAGGATGGTAGTGGCGTGCAATACTATGAGCTGACTTGGCTGGGGCTCCACGCCCAATGTCCCATCCAGGAAGGGACAATTGAACATCAACACGGTTCGCGGCAACAAGGAAAGGGTCCAGTCCTCAAGGGCCGCGAAGCATGAACCTGCTTGAGCTTTTCCCTAGAGTTGAAGACCTATAGAGATGATCTTCTATGAAATCCATATTACATGGCAGGCCCACATCTGTGGCAAGTCAGCGGCCAGGTCCTTCAGCGATCTAACCCAGAGCTGCGTGCAAACCTCAACAGATCTCACCCAGAGCTGAGCTGTCGGACAAGTCCAAAGCGTCGCACCTGTCCCACTGGAACAAAGGAAAGGAAAGATCAAAGCAAGAAGAAAAACAACTTGGTTCCTTCGTGGGAACAATCACACCCGATCTCAAGATATCATGTTTCTCCACCATAATCATTTGCTCTGCGATCAATTCCGGGATAAAAAGATGCTCTTCATGAATCTCCGGCTTTCAATTTAGCACAGTGTTCGATGCATTCAATGTATTTATTAATACTTAAAGACACTTAAAAGATCAAGAAAGACATCGAACAACAGAAAGCCTCCCTTTTTGTAATGGGTGGTGCGGCTCAACCCTGTCATGCTTGCACGCATGGCTTTTTCAGCACCTCTGCAGGTAGGGCTGCTACAGGAGCTGAAGGCCTGCAACTTGAAAAATTCACCAGAATTGTTCACAATACCCCCCCAACCACCCGCGAGTACTTCAGTACTTCAACCATGGATTTCAGAAAATTGCAGCTGGTGCAGGTGCCAAAGGGCGCACTGCGCCTGGGGTCCATCAAGTTGATTGAACAGGAGAATGGGGACGTAGTGTTGCTGCCTTGGCAGTGAGTGACTCCTCTGGAAGCTCTCGCACCCAACAGCTTCTCGTCCAAACCGACGACAGCAAACTGATTCAATCATCAACCTTTTCAAATTGATTAGCTATTTCTAGATTTCTAGCTTGCCATAGCTTTCCTGATGAGCTTGTTGATACTGCGATGTGATCGAGACTCTTATGTGCTTTAGACCCTGCAAGGGTACCGTTCTCCACACATAGTCCCCCCAAAACCCTCGTGTCAAGTCAGCAAGATGACAATCCTTCCGAAAACAACACCGCAGTGTCATCCGGGCCATGACTCAAAACAGAATTTGTGAAGTTCGGTTAACGACTCTCCTGCCCAAGCACGGTTCGCGGCTGCGTACTGTTGTCCCAGTTGCCACAACGCGGCAAAGGGATGGACGTGTGACGTGTGACGTGGGTACCGTTCCTCAGCGCCATCGGTTTGTTGCTGACCTGCAAGTTGGTGCACCATCTTCACCGGACCAAGGTGATCCACAATTTGTCATTACAACTTGAGGCAAAGCATGTCAACACAAAAACTCGATCCTAATCCCCGATCCCGAGTGGTCTCTTGATTCTGCGCTCTCAAGACGATTGCTGGCATGTTGGCTAGGGGCCCAGCGCCAGGATGTTCTGCATGGCAGTGGCATCACCTGCGCAAGCTCAACTCTTGCAACACTGTCATATACTGTAATTAAATCTCCTACGATCCAAATGGAAGCACTGTCAGTCTGTGACCGTATCACGCAAATGTACAAGGTCACCGGTCAAAAGAAAGTTGCTGTCAGCGCCGCATCACAGGAAATTACAGGAGATGGCTACCACAGAGATACCCAGCTCATCGCTCGCCATCTGCGGCAACTATGAACTGCCCTCACCTGGGGCTCCACACTCAACGCCCCGGCCGCAGTCCTCAGTGGCTCAGGTGAAACCTGAAGCCCTTTCGACAAATCCTCACATTATAAGCATTGACCAGTGCTCAATGAATGAGAGTCACCTCAAGAGCCAAATCTATTAAGCTTGATTGAAACCCACTAGTAGGCTCCGGAAGACGCGCACACTGGCAAAAACAGCAAAATGTCCAGTGTCCAGGCACAACGTCTGAAAAAAAACTCCCAGCGGTTTGAGACCAAATCCGTGAGACACAATCCCCCAACAAGATTTTGCATGCCGGATGTGTTTTGTGCTGTAGTGTGAAATTCTTTGGAATCAATATATAGTCCCAATTGTTGAGAACTCACGCAAATATCAACAACAGCTAGGCTGTCCAGCAACGGCGGCGTATCCTTTCGAACAGTAGACATCAACTCCTCTCAGGTCCCTACTTTCTCGAAGACCCCCAGTGGCATGGCAGACAAAAGCGCTCCTGCGGCCGAATTCAAAGCGACACCAGGAAGCAACAATTGACAATCTATATGTTGTCCTGTGACAAAGCCAATGGTGGCATACTGGGAAGACTAGTGGCATCCTCTGTACACCGTTTTAAGACCTTTAGTTCTTTGATGTTCTTTTTGCTCGGTCGGGACTCTATTAATTACCACAGAATCAAGTGCGAACCTAAAATAACCTAAACCAATCAAATGCACTGTCATCTCTCGTCTGCGCCTTGGCTGCCATGTGCATGTTGCAGATGGGGAAGGGATCAACTCCCTTGGGGATGGCCCGAAAGGCGCGGACGCCCACACCAGCGATGGGAGAGGCAAAGAGCTCCACGTAAGCCTTGAGGACGGCAGGGGCAGTATTCTATGTTGCCATATGGTACCCATGTGGTACAATGTCAGCACCATGGACAAGTTGCAATATCTAGAATTGCTACATGGGAATTGAGTTCAATACAACTTTGTAGGCGGTACGTGCTGTATGTGGTTGCCGATATTTGTGTCAAATCAAACAGCATGACATGTTTGAGAGACGGCCACACATTTGTCTATATTCTCAATCTCGTTTTGAGAGGCGGCGACAAATCTTGGATCAGACACCCAACAAAGAACCAGCTTCGATATCTCCAAACATCAGGACGCCACTTGTTCAGGGCCGATCTTGCAAAGAGCATGTTTGAGGTCTAACAGTCTAAGTGATGTGAACTTTGTCGCATCTGGTGGTTGTGGAGAGCACATTGAGAATGTCAAAAGAAGGAGGAATCACTCAATGAAATTAACAGTAGTTCTACGACACGGCTCTTTTGAATTCCAGAAGTTGCCGCTGGCAACAAATTGGGCGCCACTCGACAAACCTCCCATGCATCAGCTGTTATTTACATGCTATAAATTATATTTCTACATTCGCCCCGCAAACGGTTTGCAACTTCAGCGGGGATGCCTTGCACTTTCTTGAGTAGCGGCCACGCACCGGTAGGCACAGCATCCCAAGCTTCGCCTGGCATGGCCTCACAGTTGATGAAGTCCACATCTTCCAAGACAGAGCAGTGCTTGATAGCTGAAAGGACCTCTTCGCTTCCTTCACTGGACTCACCGAAGCACCGATCAAAGCTTACCCGCCTCAACCGCGGCCAGCGCGCTGCAGCTAGCATGCGCCATGCCGAGACGTGGATCTTTCCACAGGCAAGCGGAATCAATTCCTCAAGTGCCTCGCATTGGCACAAAGCCTTCAGGAGCTCATCGCTTCCTGCCCCATTGTCATTGAAGCAACACATGCAATCCACTCTTTGAAGAGTTTGCTTGGACGCAAGGAACTTCGCAGCGACCTTTGCCCACTCGTTGGCATTCAAAGGGTTGGTCGCGTGCGGGGCATACATAACTTTGGCCCACTGCAAGCCGTGTGGCAGGTCGCTTGGAGCGGGTGGTGCTTCCAAGCAGCCGAACACATCTACCACACAGAAAGAAGGTATGCACGTGTCAGGTTGTTCTGCCACATCTTTTCCTTCCACTTCAAATGAGTCATGCCATCTTTCTGGTTCCTGGGTCACGGTTCCACGCAGCTGATCATAGACTATACCTGGGATTCCGTGTGCTTGGGTCAGCTTTGGCCAAGACCCTGTGGGCACCACATCCCAAACGGTGTCGGACAGGGCAGGACATTGGCGAAAGTCAAGCGAGCGTAGCTTCTGCGAGCGGCTGAGCATTGACAAAAGCACTTCAGCGCCCTCACCAGACTCCTCAAAGCAATGCCAGAACAGACCAGTCCGGAGCTCTGGCCAATGTGCACTTTTCAGAACGTCCCATGAGAGTTTGGAAATCTTCTTGCAAAAACCCAAGTATATCTCTTCCAACCTTTCACACCGAGAAAGGCATTGAAACATGTCACCGCAACCATCCTCAGAGTCCTGCCAGCAGCACCATAAATAAACTATCTGCAGGTGGGGCCAATGGGCTGTTGACAAGACAGCCCATGCCCTTGGAGAAATATGCTTGCAACCTGACAAATCCAAAACTCGGTTGGCCATGGACTGCTCTTTGAAGCAAGTCATGAAATTCTCGCAAAACTCTGGATTCAGCAGCTCCTCCCTTTCCAAAAAACCTCGGAGACAATTGCACTGCAAGAACGGTCCAGACCCTGAGGTTGTTAGGATACTTAAGTCCTTCTTGATTGCCTGGAGTTCCCCGACACTCCCTTCAATCCAGGTTTTCAACGCTGCGTCGTCCAAATCCAAGATGTACCCCTCAGCAGCCATAACTTGCAGCGCAGCTCTGCAAGGCTTTGAGTGGTTGAGTGTTGCTGCAACTACAGAATACAGCAAATGACGTTTGGGAAGGTTCTCACCACTGGCATCTCGAGCTGCTCTGGAAAGTTGGTGCAGAAGTGGGTGGTGCCTCACTGATCCTGTGAATGCTAAACATGGGAGAAGGAGCATGCTGCAAGCACTTGCTGCAAGCAACGGTGCGGCCAAGTGTAATGGGACCTCTTTGGCCCCAGGAAAGGTTTCCAAGTACCTCTCTGGATACCTGCGCAAGAGATACTGCAAAGATGTAGCCAGCGTTGTCACCATCAGCTGCAGCACTATGGATTTCCAAAGCGGCAACAAGGATGCTGGCTGCAAGACTTGTCCGGGGTGAGCAGCAATGGCTGCTAGGAGGTCTATACCACGCGCTTCTGGGAAGTTCATGGAAGCACAAAAGAGCAAGAAGAGCACCAGGCTTGGCCCACCCATGGATGTAGATTCTGTGGAGCCGCGGGTGGAGATGTGCACCAAATTGATGGCTGCAAGACGGCCAGTGACTTCCATGGTCCGTAGAATAATGAGCGTTACCATGATGGGCCCCCAGCCTGCAGTTCCAGGAAGGCCCAGCACTGGAGTAGGTGCTTTGTCTCTGGAGGCAAAGCTGAACCCCAGTGAAAGTAATGAAAGCCCAATAGATGTGGACAAAGAATGAATCTCATCAGCAGTCATGTCCAACGACTCGAATTGGTCCACCTCAACGAGAACATTCATCAAGAGGTGCAGCTGCACCAAAGCTGATATGGCAGCCTCGGTCACTTCTCCCTGCTGTCCCTCTACAAGAGCGCTAAACTTTTGGCGAAAGTACGCGGACATCAGAGTGAGCAACAGAATGTGGAGCTGCAAAGCGGTGCAAATGACCGCCAAACAAGGGAGTAGAGTTGTGTACCCTGACGGAATCAATGTTTGAAGGAACTCAAGCTGTGGCGAGGCTGGCTCACGCTTGGCCCACAAGTAGTTCTCTCTACATGTGAATAAAATAGGCACACAAATCCCGCACACATTGGCCATTAGGTAACCCAGAAGCCCTTTCCTGTAGAAGAGCCGGAACTGCTGCACATCGCTAAACAAGTCCAAATAGCTCAGGAGGCAGGTCAAAACCAACAAATCCAACCAAAACATGGGAGCTTCACCAGTCAGTCCTCGACAAATCCACATTGGGTTCCAGGAGTTCGTCGAATCGAAAACGATTCCCACGAGATGGTCTCTGCCAGTGCCACGCATGCTTCTCAAACCTGTGATTCGGCAATCGGTGGGAGCCCTGCTCGGTTCCGCTTGTTCGGGAAGCCAAGTAATCTTGCCCGGGAATGCTGGTTCTGGCACCACCAGCCCGCGAGCCAAAGGTTCCAACCTGTACCCCGAAGGCCCACCGATGAAAACTTCGACGTTGCGGAAGCTTTTTGCTCCGGCCTCCTCACAGGTCTCATGCATCTTGAAACCAACAACCCACTCTTCTGGCCCCAGCTCAATTCTCCTAGTAATGGTGTTGTTGTGGTCTTTGCTCTCCTTGAAGTGCAACTTTTCTGAGACGCCTGTGGCCTTCCGCCACTCCAGCGACACAAGATCATGAATTCCTTCCTGGTCGGGAATATCAATGGCCTTCTGCCACAATGAGCCTTCGGATTCCATCTCAGTCATCCAGCTCGGCTGCAGAAGGATGGCGACAATCTCTTCCCCCGGACTGAGCAAGTGTTGCTTTTGCTCCATGTCGAATCCTCGAAGTGCTGCTGGTGGTGAAACTAAAATGGCTGCGGTAAACAGGCAACAGGGGATGTGCAAAGCACACGTCCTTCATCGCTTGCATGTCAGCTCAAACCTTGCAAAAGAATGCAAAAAAAGGACGAATCAAGAGATGGTGATGCAGCTGGCCACCTGGATGAAGAGCGTCGAAGAGGTCCAGTCTTGGACGGACTGGCCCAAGATGGCCCAAGGGATGCCAAGGGACCTGGGGCATGCACAACACCTATCAACCCAAACAAGCTGGAAAGGAGAAGCCTTTGGCAGGGAATTGGGCAGCTAAGCGAAATTACCCTTATTTTATTCAGGGTGTATGTATCATGCATGGTGAGCTGAAAGTCAAGACTCCGTTGTTTGATGGCTTTTCAAGCTAGGTTGTTTTTTTGCTTGGGCCTACACATTTATGCTTTTGGATCCAGCGCGTCACTGCCATTTGTCCTGCCTTGAGTACGTAGGGCCCAGGCTCAGATCCGAAGAAAATCACAAATCGTTCCCATTCGAGCGTATTTTTGCCAAAAGACCAACCCTATAGGGAAGTAGGACATGCAGGGCACGCTGCCAAATCGGCGCACACGAAAGGAAAATCGAGGGGAACGAAGGACATTGTTCCTTTACAGAAGTGGGCATGTCTTGTGGACAGGTAGGAAGCGAAGGCAGCTGGCAACAACGGAGATAACACGAGAGGTGTGTAGCGCCCACGGAACTCAAGGGAACGACCGGCGATGGACCTAGGGGGAATCGAGTGACCCTCGATGGACCGTCAGGAAATGTGGCACACACACTGGGAAATACCGAAAAAAAGGCAATGTTTGAGGACTTCAAAAAAAGTGACTTGTTTGGGGAATTGCAAAATACCAAATCCAAATTTTTCTAGAAACTTTGGCCAGTCAGCGGATGGGTTAGGAAGCATTGACCAAATATGTATATAAAGATCTCCACTAAAATGGTTTTCGGACAAAATTAAAAAATTGTAGGAATTTGGCAATTTCCAGGTGCACAAATCTGCGCGAAACAGGGTTGGGTAAGACCAGTTCATAATACTAATACTTGATGTAATTCTAATAATATATATATACTGTGTTTTTCAATAATGGGTTAACAATATTATAATCTATAACATCTCTGCCAACATGATTCGCAACCAATACAACCAGCAAAACCAAAAACTACCAATTATAAAAAGTGTACGATCCAAGGTACTTTATAGAAATCATATATTATAATTCGCAGATATACATATTATATATATATATATGTATTGTTTCAAAAAATGATTTACTGTAAGTTTTTAGGATTTTGAACCAATTCTAAGAATTCCTTCCAAACAGAATACTTGAAATTGCAAGAAAACAGCGTTTTTGGTGTTTGCGTTTGATCGCATTATGTCTGGTCCTTGCCCAAATCTCTGTAATCGGTGGTAAGTTCCTGCAGGGATTGGTGTTCACTGCCGTCGTTTCAGTTGTCATCTTTAATGGATGGAATAATTTTAATTTTTGTTGGACAAATTGATGTGAGAGTTGTTGACCCATGGCAATGCTTCATGTTTTGGAATTGGATTGAAAAGAAGGGCAAGCAAAAGTACAAAACGAGCAACCCAATTAGGATATTATGTCTTAGTCAATCCAAATGCCAAGAATGTCAAATTTCGCAAGTCAAGGCGGTTCAGTTCAAAAAAGAATCATAACTTTTAAGATGGTTGAACTTAAAACAAAAACCATAATCAATCCCAATTCCTGCTTCAGTGCAATCCTCGTGTCTTGGTTTTATGTCGCAGGGTGCATGGTGCTTCCAGAGCTTCCATATGGCTCCACTTTATTAACGGCCAATCTCAGTTTGACAAGTAGGCCAAAATTAAGAATGTATGCGACAGGTTTAAGTTTTAAGAAAACCACAAAGACACACAAACAAACACACACACATTATATATGTGTGTGAACGCACATGTCATGCTGCCACCAGGTTCAACATAAAAAGGGATGCCAACCGCGCCGAGCCAACCACTATCCAAACATCAAGTGTGTGAATCTGACGAACATCCACAGATTTATGTCTAGTCAAGATTCTGTCAATCGCCCTTGCTTTCCATACAAAGGAATCATAACTGCGGACAGTGCCCACCCCAAAAGTTATGATTCTTAACATGTTATAGTTTCCCCAAAAAAGAATCACAACTGGTGACACAGCCCACCTAAGGGTTTTGATTCCAAAACAGTGTTATAGTTCCAAAAAAAAGAACCATAACTGGCAGCACTGGCTACCAAAAAGTTATGATTACAAAATATTCCAAACAGAAAAGTTATGACTCCAAAAAAAGTTATAGTTCCAGGAAAAAATAACCATAACTTATGATTCTTTTTTTCAAGGAGAGGCATAGCCTACATCTAACAAAAAGCCTTCCAAATCAAGTGTTTTTGCTAGCTTTGAGCGTTGTGTTTTAGTGAAAAACCTGGATTTACAGAGCCCCAAACTAGCAAACACCTTTGATTTTGAAAGGTTTTTGATAGTTTTTGGCTATGCATTTTTTGAAAAATAATCATAAGTTATGGTTCCTTTTCTTGAACTATATTTTTTTTTGGAATCATAACTTTTTGGTAGCCAGTGCAGCGAGTTATGGTTCTTTTTTTGGAACTATAACTTTTTCTTGGAATCATAACTTTTTGGTAG